AAGGGGGCGAGGGGTCCGTGTCACTATGGAGGGAGCCCTGTGGGGGCAAGGGGCCTGTGTCGCTATGGGGGGGCTCCATGGGGGCGAGGGATCCCTTTCATTATGGGGGGACCCAGTGTAGATGAGGGGTCCGCATTGCTGTCAGTGGTAGGGACGAGGGGATCCATGTTGCTGGTGGGGGGACCCCTATGCGATATATGGGGGTGCTGGGTTGCTATCACCTCTGAGGGGAAGAGGGACTGTGCGGTGCTGCCACTCGGGGGACCTCTGTGCTGGGAGAGGGGTTGAAGGGCCCTGTGTCACTGTTACTGGGGGAATCAATATATGGAGGTTGCTTTTCAGGCATGACCTAATTTAATTGTCACAACACCGCTGTGAAATGGTTATCTCCAATTTACAAATGGGGAGACTGAGGCACTGAGAGGTGAAGCAACTGGCAGAAAGTCACACAGCTGGTCAGTGGAAGAGCCAGGAGTGAAACCTGTGGGACTTCCTGTCTAGCAGCCCTGCCTCAAGGCAACACATTGACTGTACATATGTTTAATATATAAGCCCTTTGGAGCAGGGTCAGGATCTTTGCACGGCACCTAATGCTTTGCACAAAGGCCCTGATGCAGAGTGGGGCCTTTAGACGCTATTGCAATACAAATATTAAATAACAGTAACTTGTTACACAATTGTACCATCAGAGATTAATTAAAAGCTAAATGAAATCAGGACTCAATATTTAAGAACCATGTCTCACACCACCTCCTCAGATAACATCATGGATTTTCCCTCCCACTCCTGTCTCCCTGTGGATGGATTCTAGTTTTTTTCCTAATCTGAAGCCTCTGAGCTTCCTTTCATAAGAGACAACAAGCTGGCAGCAGTGAGATGGACATTGGGCTGTTGTCTGCTACTCCATTTTTGACTGTGTTCCCTCTAAGTTCCCTCTCTCTGATTGTATCCCTACAGATGGTCACATTTAATTTGTTTCATATTCTTTTTTTAGTTAATAATATTGGTAGAGATGCTCAGAATTTTGAACTAGAGGAAAAGTAACTGGAGATGGGGAAATACTTCACAGGACAAATGTTTGTGAGGGGCCTAGTATCTTTGTCCTATATAAGGACAATATAGGGTGACCAGACAGCAAGTGTGAAAAATTGGGATGGGGGTGGGAGGTAATAGGAGCCTATATAAGAAAAAGCCCCAAATATCAGGACTGTCCCTATAAAATCAGGACATCTGGTAACCCTAGGACAATACTAGAGTAAAATAATATTTTGATTACCATCCAAGTCTTTGTAATTACAGTTAAACTGTTGCTTTGAAATATTCCAGAGTTGTTGTTGTGGGTATTTGGAGGAAAGAGCATCTTTGGAGAGCCCCTGTGTAATGATTTTTTCTTCTAGCAGCTGGCATTTGTGATGCTAATGCCTTGTGCCTTGAGTTAGAATATATCACATTAGTTTTTTAATATCAGTGAGTCATAAATACTAAAAAGAAATGTAATATCTTATAATTTTAGTGTATTGAATTTTACAAGTTCTATAGTAATCTCTGTGCGTTTATTTTATGACCAACAAGAATGAGTATTTTGTCAGGTTTTAAAGAGTAAGTTTGATGACCTAGGTGGATTTTCCTATCCATAAAGGGACATTTCAGCTTGAGGAAGAGTGTGGTCTACTGGCTATAGCAAGGTGGGACATGGAATGTAATCTCTTGGGTTCTGTACCCAACTCTGCTACTAATTTACTTTGTGACCTTGGGCATGTCATTTACCTTCTGTAAACCTCAATTTCCCCATGTGGAAAATTGCAATAGTAACGCAGTACTAATTTATAAAGTATTTAGAGATCTTCAAATGAAAAGCATTTACAAACATAAAAAGTATTATTATATTTTGTACATTATAGCTTTTTAGTATCAAATTTAGCCCAGGCACAACTCCAGTCAGTGGAATTGCCCCTAGTTACACCAGGATTGAATTTAACCCAGAGACTTTTACTACGTGTTACTAATCCCTCTCAGAAGCTGGAAAATACTCTTTTCTTGCTAGATTTGTCATCTTCCATTTGGTAAAGAATGTTTTCCCTCATCTGCTTTTATGTAATGCAAACCAAGTGGCTTTGCTGTACTTCCTCATTAGGAGCCTCATTGATATTGTCACAGTTTTGACAATGCTTTATTTACTTTTGCTCCCTCTACTGGCTGCCTGATTCTACAGCAACCGAGCAATATACTACAAGATCATGCATAAGGTCGGTAAGGCCCAGTCTACAAACAACTACACCATGCACGAGCATTTAGATTAACACATAGAAATGTAAAGTCATTTCATGGGCCTGCCTACCAATTTGAGCACACAGATGCAGAATTTAGATTTGATATTTAGGTACCCATATCTGAAATTTGGGTGGTTTTCTTTGTATCTATTTGTCTCAATGAGAATAGGTGATATTTTTATTTCATTAAAAAATAGCCTGTATTATCCCCTTGTATACAAAAGTTTAAAGTCTGTGATTCCACATATTCTCCTTCCGATGCTCTCATTCATGGGATTAGCAGGGTGCAAAATGGGCAGGATGTATGGCCCAAAAGAGATCCCAGCCTCTGTTGCCCTATATTCTCAGTCAGAATTCCCTCTCTGCAAGATTTCTTGAAGAGCGGCTTGCAGTGTTGGAGGAACAGGTTTTTTATCTCAGCTTGTTCCTGTCTCACCTCTATTCCGCCCCACCCTCCAAATCCCAACCCTACTAACTTCTTCCATGAATCCAGTCAGAGGGAGCAATGTAACTAAGAAGGATCCACAAAGTGATTTAGGCGTTGCAATGGTGAGCATCATGGCACCTAACCTTTAGGCGGCTAGAAAATTCAGGACCAACACTGTGATCCCCAAGGTCGAGTTAGGCACCTAGGCTCCCAATGCAATGAATGGGGAGAGAAAGGCATCTAAGAATGGGATCCTCAGAAGCAAGCCCACTAGGTGGGGAGCCGCCTAAGATAGCCAATAAGAGATGCTAAGGAGAGGGGTGTGTGCTAAGCCCCTCCCCTTTCTTGGAGATAGAAGCTTAAGTTCAGGTTGCAGGAAGGTGTCTAGCTTGGTGATCCACAAACAGCCACCCACTGCCTGGAATCAGGCAGCTTAGGTGCCTAAGGTGTTTCTTGCAGGAATGAGTTAGGCACCTACCTCAATCCACACAAGACAGCCGGAGGTGGAGGGGCATATCTTATTTCTAGAATCTCTCCTGTTGAAGCTGGTCCACTGTGGATGAATAATGATAGTTGATGGAGCAGGGGGACTGGACGTGGGTTTTCCTCCCTTCCAGGTGGATGCTCTATTTAAGTATTTGTCCACAGTGGAACAGTCATTGGTCCAGAGAGAATGATGCTATAGACCTGTTGTTAGGGCACTGACCTGGGAGGTGCCTAGAGGGTTTGGTGAGAGTTTTGTGGCTTGCAGTGGAGCTACAACTGGGGCTTAGGTGCCTAACACAGGGGCTTGGGTGCCTGAGTCTGGGGTTTAGGTGTCTGAATACTTTCGTGGATCCCACACCATCTTACTTAGTCGCTTGCCCTCTCTGAATGGGTCTACCCTGGTTTTTTCTCTCCTGCACTGCACACCAGAGGAAGTATATGGGCCTAAGTTATTTAGACTGAAAAGGACACTCTTTGCAAGAATTTTTAATTGTAATTATTGAAAATGATGTCTCGTAGTACTTGTATTGTCTATTAATGACTCCTAATGAAATTAGCTCAGTTTACAAGGAAATGTTTTTTCATAACCAAAATCATTCTGGAAACAAAAGCTCAGCTCCTTCTGGCTTGTTTGTGGACGTCGGTGATAAAGATTCTGCTGTCAGAACTGTTAATGGTGTTAGTGCATGCAACAGAATAGAAGCTAGCTCCCAATCTCTCATGGCTCTGCAGTTCTAATAGGAGTAAAAACTGGTTTTTGTCATTAAAATCAGCAGACTGAAGTCTTAATATGCATTGGGAGCTAATACACTGAAGAAGATGTCATTTTTGCCTCATAGTTACTTCCCTGGCCATAATTGCATTTTAAAGTATTACAGATTACATTTTGCAGCCCAACCCTTCACCAATGTCCTTTATGTGTTCTTACATTCCTAGTCAACAAATTTCCTGCTTTGTACCATGCAGTATTATCTGGCTATAACATGTCTTGTGTTCACATGCCTTTTATATTTTAACTTGAATACTAATTCTCCATAAGCCCAGCTTCCCCTGGAATAGTAAGAACTGTGAACCAGTCAGTTGTAACTAGTTTCTCCACAAAAGCCAATGAAAACAATACTCACAATTCCCTTTTTCCAAGATGCATGTATTTTGCCAGTGTTAAAAGAAACTTTAATGCTGACAAATCAAAGCTTGAACTTTTTGCTTTTGAGTTATTATGCTGTCGTGTTGCAATTTGCACAACTTTGAACCTAAGTAAAACGTGTGTATATTAAAAGAGAAAAGGTAGTTTAACTTAAATGGCAGTAATAGCATTCTGGGTCAGAAAATGTATGTAGGTGGATTTATGGATCATTTTTTAAATATTAAAGTTTGACCCATTAAAATGTATTTGGTACTACAAATGAAGAGTTTAAAATTGCAATGGCTCAAAAACCACTGTAATTGCTGACAGATTTCAGAGTGGTAGCCGTGTTAGTCTGTATCAGCAAAAACGAAGGAGTCCTTGTGGCACCTTAGAGACTAACAAAT